AAAAGAACACCTGCCTGCCAGGAAAATCCCACTAATGGCCTCTGAATAAATCATAATTACGTTTTAAATGGAGAATAATTCTCACACTGCTCCCTCCAACACTGGGACTCAATATCTACCACAGCAGGGGCTAAACCCTGCTTTGATTTACCTGCAGAGGAATGTTTGCTAAAAGAAAGTGATGAAATTCAAAGAAAGATCGATCACACTAAATTGCTCTCAAAAGTACTGGTGCTATTTTGCTCTAAATCAAAGATTTACTCCAATAATCAATAATACTTCAAGTTCTTCCAATGTTTCTTAAGACAGCTCTCACCTAATTTCTATGATTCTTTCATCTGTTCAAAATCACTTAACATGTATTGTTCTCCAAGATCCCTGGATGTTCTTACTTGTTGATTCACTTCACTGAAGAATAGGAAAAACAAAAAGACTCTCCTGCTCTAAAAAATGGGAATAATTATCTTCTCTTTAACACTTAGCCATCATTTTGACTAATACTGCAACATCAAGCAGCAATTAACCTCCCAGAAACTCCATGTTTAACTTCATTTCAGCAGGATTACATTTGCTTTTGAAAGAAAAGGAAAATAAATTTTGTTTTATAAAGTCTGGTTGAGAATGAACTATGATTTTATTTGCTCCTTCCCACAGAATGCAGGTTTCACTTCCCTCCTGCCTGTGTACAGCCCCATCCACTCGAGGACTGATTTCCCCAGCTCTGAGCTGCCAGGGAGGAACTCCCAAGTTCTAAGGCCAGCAGAGAGGTGAATCCTTCACTCTGGCAATGTGTTTGTCTAATCTTCTGCCCACGAGGCCATGGAATGATCAGCAACTTCTCCTTCTTGAATTGAACCCTTCCTTCCTTCCATGTGATGTTGGAACATCTCAGTGGTGGCAGGACTCACACAGACTTTGCACAAGAACTTCATTAACAACCAGCACCAACCACAAAGCTTTTGCTGCATCAGACTCATGGCTAAGCTTTCAAAAATGCTTGGGGTTCATTTTAGAAATTGACAAAATTCTCTAGGATTCCAAGTCCAGGTTGCTGACAGCTCCCCCACACCTACTCAGCTCACAGATCTGTGTGGATGCCCACACAGAGTCCTTACAAGCTCTGATGCTCAATTTGGCAAGATCCTTGCCTCTTCACACTGCATTCTACTTCCCATGGCATTTCTGAAGAAAGACAGGGCCAAAATTTCAAAAAGAAAAGAAATTCTAGCAAAAAAGCAGACAGAAATTTAGATTTTTTTAAAGAAAACAAATGAACTTTATGTCAAGTGGAATCCATAGAATGGGACTTGGGAGGGAAATTTGCTTAGATGCCAAATGGTACCTTTAAAGACATCAATTTGAACCTCTGTAGCTTTAACTTTCTTCCAGATTCAGACCACCAGGATCTTAAGAAATTCTAACAGTGGTACACTAATGGTAAAGACCCAAATCCATCTTTAGGCTGATGATGATGCAGAGGAAGTTCACATATGATGTCAGAACAAAAACTGATTAAAACTATCCTGGAATTATTAACAAAAGCATTCTCAAATGACATCTTCCCTGGGAACCATTTCCTGCCATAATAAGACCACACTTGCTATGAGAACCAGCACCCTGAATGATGTCACGTTTGTTGATACACAGCTCTGTGTAAAAGATTTCATTCACACATGAAGGCCATCCAAAATCCTGCCAAAACCACAGCAAAATCCCTTTTCCCTAGATTGTTGCAATTCACTTCTGATGCACAGCTTGCAACATCTCATCAAACACCATCTTCCTACTGGAGGGAGTACATAATTTTCAGAGACAAGTGCCAAAATGCTCTGCACATTAAATAAGCTAAAAACAAGCCAAGATTTTAGTATTAGAGCATAAATATAGAGCATAGTAAACTATGGCCCTTTGAGCATCGTGGAAACTATTGGTTTTAGACACAGCACTTTTGGTTTCTTAAAAGCTAATATCTTACATTCCTCCTAAAAAGTAATTAAATTGTTTGGGGCTTTCACACTCTCTACTTCCACGTGTTCCCTCTGCAACACAAGTGTAAGGAGAGAAGTTTTATTCCATGGTAAACACCACGTGGCCATCAACAAAAGCACCAATATAGGGACAAAAGTGTTTACATGTGATTGCTACATGACACACAGAGTCCTTTTGTCACTGCACTGGGAGCTGCAAGCACTGCAAAAGCATTTCAGGCAAACTTCTAGACCAGAAGGGAACAGGATCAGTCACCAAGTGCCATTAAAGTGGGGAAAACAAAATATCCAAATGGAAAAAAATCATCTAGTCATTCTCCTCTTGTTTTTAAAGAACAGAAAACTAAAATACTTTGGATTGCCACTGCAAAGCACCATTTAAATGGGGGTTGCTTTCTTTAGTGTCTACCACACTGCTTTACATATGGTATGCACCAGGAATTCATATCAACATTGTAAACATACCACCTAAAAGAACAGCATTTTGCTGATTGAATACAATTAATTTATTTCGTTTTTCTTCCTAAAATATTTCTTAGGCTGTGGTTTATTTGGTGCTTGCAATACCAAAGGACTACACAAAGTGAAAACCTTCTGCCCCCAAAAGGCTGCTGTAACTGCAGGTGAAAAGCTTTTCCCTCCTTTGGACTAGAAAATAGTAAAAAGCCCCCTAAATTACCTGCTTCATTATCTATGAATCCCGAAGCCAAAAAAAAAAAAAGTTTTTCACATTCTTGACATAAAATCTCTCTGGTATTTTGTGTTATACCTAAGCCAACTTGGAGATTTCCTGATCATTGCCTGCCAGACATGCACTTCAAAGACTGAGAATCAGATTCATAAGGAGGGACCACCTGCAGAAATTGGATTACTACTATTTGAAGTGGGAGAAAAAAAGTCACCTGTTACCAAGCTGAGCACTCGCAGCCACTTCAGCTTCTTCAGTGGAATTTCTTTCTAGTTTGGATAAAAACAACAATCATTCTCATTTTAAGTCTGTCAGCAATTTCTTCACCATAAAGTTCAATGACTGTCCCCATTAACAGGCTGGGGTACCAATGGTGTATCGATTTCCAACAGCTGCCTTGGCAATGCAGAAAAACAAATTAAAAGTTGACACTAATTTTACTTAATGGCAACCAAAAATGATAGAAAAATATAATGGTTTCATTTCAGCACATCTTAGGATAACTTTTCTTAGTTACTCTTAGGTCTTTCCAACCCTGTGTATGCCAGTTTAGAGGAATATGTGAAACCCTACTTACAGGATTTTGCCTCATTCTTGAATGCTTCTTCATAATTTTACCAACTGTGCACCCACTAAACTTGCAGCAATAGAATTTTTTCCTCTTCCAGCAAAGGCAATATAAACCCCAGTATTCAAATCCAATTGCAGTGACTATGCACTGAAAATTGAGAAAGAAGTGCTTGGAGATGTGACATTTTAAAGCATCTCTGTAAATTTAATTTTTAAAGGACAGAATGAGGCACAATAAAACCTTCTCATACTATAAGGTATGGATATCACTTGCACAAGAAAAGCCCAAATAAAATTATCAAAGTGACTGAAGAGATATGAAAACAACACAAGCTGGAATTGGTGGAGACTAGCTGAGAACTTGGAGACAACTTGTTTCTTTTGAATGAATTCTGCTATGTCCTTTCCCTTTAAAACAGCAGTGCAATTTGCATCTTTGCCTTCCTGATTTCACTTGAAAACACTTCCTAAATATTCCTGCTGATAAGAGCATTCAGAACCTGCCCCAGTTACTCTGCTGAAAGGCAAACACATTTTCTACTGGTAAGAGTAGGACAGGGCAATATCAGGCAAATGCAACAGCAAAAACCCCAAATCCTCTTTTGAGCAGACAGAAACACAAAGCAAGAAGGAACTCTGAAGTGATAACACACCTGTGATTGGCTTTGATAGAGAATGTTTTCCAACATTTTGGGGAGGTGCCAACAGGACCATGAAATTTGGTGAACATGTAACAATAGCAAAAAGTGATGGGTGTAAGGCCAGAAATTTAATACAGAAAGGACTTCTACAAACTCTGCCTTTCACAAGGAATCTTACTCTCACAAGCAACCCTCGTCTTGGTGATGGGCTGCAGAATCAAACTAGAAAAAGCATACATAGTCAAAGGAGTTCTGAGAGATACTGAAGTTATATATATAACTCTTTCTGTGGGAACAAATCTCTAAATTGTGGGGTACTGCTTGGTGCTGCCAGTCCCCAAGAGCACTAATATTTTAAAGCCTTGATCCTGTAGACTGCTGGTTTCTCAGAAGGGTCCATACAGCTTACTCAAGACTTTATTTGTGGGGTTTGGAAATGGCTACACTGTATAAAAATGTTTTTGTATTTATTTTTTAAAAAATTATCTTTACAAAACAACTTTTCCCTTTTTTTCTTTTTCTTTTTTTTTCTTAAAGATATCATTATCTACAGGAACCCATAAAAATTTTTCCATATTTACATCTAGATAGCTAATCATTGACAAATATATCGTGAAATAAAATATTGAAAGTGAATATCCAACCTTTTAAATAGACATTTGGCTCACAGCATAAACAACAGAGAAAACAAATGAACAGAACAACAACAACAACAAAAAGATCTGCTGTTCTTACAGGTCTGATCTTTTTCTTTCTGTTAAAAAAAAAAAAAAGAAGAAAGAAAAAAGAAGAAAGGAAAAATATATTGGTGGGATCAAACATGCTGCTCCTAAGCAGAATGCCAGCAACAAACTGGCACTAAAAACCCAAGTTCTGTGAAGCCCATGAGAGCAGATCCTGGGACACTGAGTGCCCAGCCCACCAGCACTGGCACCTGTGCCCAAGCAGCTCCTCATGCCCCCTTTGCCTTCTTCCCCTGGCCCCCACGCTCCCTTTCCTTTGTCCCCCAGCAGTTTAGCTTTGTTCTCAATGCCACATTTGGTGATGGATGCCCAGAGGCAGGGTGAGGGCAGGACAGGACAGCGTGTCCACTCACACGGGTGGCCCTGCAGCACATTCACCCTGCAGGGCACAGGCAGGGCCAGCCTTCTGCAAGGGCACAGGCTGCTGTGCCAGGCACTGCCCCCTCTGCAAAGAGCCCTCCTGGCACATCCCTGTCGCCAGCAGTCCTGGAGGTGCCCAGGAGGAGGAGGAGGAGGAGGAGGAGGAGGTGATGCCAGCACAGCTGGTAGGGCCAGAGCAGCTCCTGGGCTGCTGCTGCTGAACGGAGGCTGCCTGCAGCTGGAGTGCAAACTGGGACTGGAGGGAAAGCAAAGCTCCTCAAAATTGTTCCCTTGCAGGCACGAATTCTCTACAATTCTGGCCTTCTGTTTTTTGTGGTATGCCGGGACATGTGCTACAGCTAGTGTGGTAAGAACTCAGAGCATGCTGTATTTCCTCATATCCACTCACACTTGCAAACACCCCCTCACTCACACATATGTGTTGGCAGGATACATCAGCATTCATATAAAGCTTTGGAACTTTTATCCCTCAGCATTAAGAGCAAAAAGCTACTTAACTGGTACCTTACTGTTAACTGCAAATGTGCTTCAGAAGCAGCATTTCCTCAGATAACTTTCTCCTGTAAATATCACAGTGACCATAATATATCATTAAATGTAATTTGCTGAAGTGTGCAGCCAATAACCCTGGCTATATATATATATATATATTTATATAATTCCACCCACCCCCAAATCTCTTCAAAGAAAGTCTGTAAAGCCGGTGTTGCAGTGTGAAAGCTTCCTTGAGCATAGGAGTTTAAACAATGTACCTCACCATAAAAAGGAAAGAGAAACAAATGAAACAGCTGTAGGCGCATTATCCCATACTTCTACAGTGTTGTGTCTAAATGCTGTGCTGGCTTGAGAAAGAGTCTGTGCACGAGTCAATCTGTCTTAAAATACTGCTGTAAATATTGTCATTGGTTTGGTTCTACAGTTGTGTTCTCCTCTTCATCCTTCTTGGCCTTGCCTTTCTCCTCCTCCTCCTCCCTGATGGCCTGGATTTGTTCTGAAGATTGGTGCAGTGGGGATTGCTCCGTGCCTTGCTTCTCCGACCCAGCTAACCGCTCCTCATCCTCAATCACCTTCTGCCACATCTTGTGGTTCTGAAGCAGGTGCTGAGTGATCTGACAGTAGATTTTCCTCCTCTTGAACTTCTTCTTTCCTGTAAAACACCACGTGGCATTAATGCATTGGTTTCTATTGGAGAAGGAAAAGCGACTGAAGGCATAGGAAGCAGACAGAGTGTACTATGACAGATTTTTAAACCCCAACATTTGAACAGTATTAAAATTCAGAAAGGTGTGCCTCTCCAGATCATGGGGAAAGTTTCCTGCACAGTTTGAGCCCCAGCTTCATCCTATGCCAAGACTGCATGTTGTGCCTGACTCAGCTGCTTACAGAGCTATCTGGTCTTTGAATGATTATGCATTAAAAACATTGCTGAGCTGTTTCTGCTCATTTTACATAAAATTATTAAAGACTCTGATCAACACCCATTCAATTCCGTGCCCTGCTCACCCCCAATAGATCCCTGCTGATTGTCCTAGGGGAAAAAAAAAAATCCTGATTTTGTTTTCCTGCATTCCATTTTCAAAGTCATCCATTGCTCCCCCATCACAGTGGAGGTGACCTTAAAGCTTAAGCCCAACATTGCTCTGGCAGCAGCCTGAGCACTAAAGAAGCACCCACACAGCCAAATACTACCACAGGGAGCTTGCTTCTCTTTGCTTTTGAAGCACCAGGCCCCTGCTCTCAGCCTATGAAGTGTTTTTGTCCCTGGTGGTTCTCACGTCTCCTGACACTAAAAGTCTGAAGAGTGTTTTTTTTCCTGTCAATATAGTCTGTCCAACACAAATTCTTAACTCCTTAGCAGTACAAAGTTTGAAAAATTTTCCTGGTCATTAGCAGTGACAATGGCCATCACAGAACTGAAATAATAGCCCTCCAAAGACAAGTGCTGCGTTTTCTTTAAAGGAGGTGACGTAGAGAATGTTTTGTACCAGATAAATTTGCGTGGATTAGTATTTGCAGGTTGCCTGAAGTATGTCTGTGTCAGGATCCAAAATGTTTAGCCCTTGAAGCTTTTGAACTGGAAACAAAGAGCTTTTCACTGAGCACAGACCAAATCCAATTCAATCCTTCATTAGAAAGCCCTTGGTTCCCTGTAGGAAACCTTCAGGTTTAGCACTAATAAGAAGCCCCTCTGCTGCCAATGCTACAGTAGGACATTCTCTCTTGGGTTTCCCAGGTGACCCCACTTCTTGTTTTTCCCTGCAGACACTTGCTGTGGTGTTCAAATTTGTCTGAACCACTAAAGACTGAGTCTGTTTAATCCTTATACTTGCATAAGACCTTCAGGGCAAGTACATGCTCTTGTATAGTAAAAAAATTACTTATGGCTACTTCAACATTATAACTCTTAAATTGATCTCAACTTCTTCAGTGAATTATCAGGACCTAGATGAAGTGTTTCCTGCCACAATTATATTTCTATCTGCCTAAAAGGCATTTTCATCAAAAGATCTTTACCAACATCTATACCAGTCCTAAAGTCTGTGCATCTGACATCTCAACCTTTTATTGTTTCATTGAGAAAGTTTACAAAGTCCAAAATTGGGTTGATCACAGGCACACACTTTTAAGGAACTATGAGGCCCCTATATTGACACAAAAGATGGCACAGAATCCTGAGTAAGGTCCACACAGCCACAGAGAATTTAGGCGACCTGAAGACAACAATTTGCCACACATTAGTATGATGGAGAAGAGGAGCATCTCCCATTTGGTATAAAGGAAACAGAAAGAACTTGTGGAATATTTCAAAACTTCTGATACTTTAATTTTTAAAGCTTTGAAAACCATAGTCTAAAACACTATAGTATTAGGGTGCTATTACAAGGTAAAGAAGAAATCAGAAGATCATTAAAATCAGTCTGTCTGCAATGTGAAAAGAGTTAATAATGATCAGTGCTTTTAACCTGAAAACATTATTATTTGACTCCACTAATGGTGATACAGAAGATAAGTGAATAGAGACATTAAATGAAAGGAAACCAAGGATTTCAGAGTCAGGTTAGAGACACCATGGATATATGAGAACATCCTTCTTTTTTTTTTTAATACAGCAGTATCAGTTTCAGGCTTTGGGGTCTGTGTTAATTACCAGCTGAATACATTTCCTCCTAGCAGGCACTTCCAGAAAGCCCAATCTGCCACAAAGATGTGGCTCTGCCTGTTACAGAACTGACAGATCATAAAGTGATAAATTACCCCTGGGTGTTACATTACTTGATGTGTACTGTTCTCTAAGAGATTTTTTGTGCATGTGCACGTGCTAAACATAAAATATGTGCAAGTTGTGTGTGTGTGAAAAATAGCAATGAGATCTTAAGTACAAACTGTTTACCTCTGGATCTTACTAGAGATAAAAGGTTAATTCTGCACATCAGAAGACACAGATTTTAGTTCCACATCCAAATGTGACTTACTGCACTCACTAAATCTTTCTCAGCTTTCCCAATAGAAAACAGGGATGATACCCAGGCAGGGCATGAAAGAACATGTGTGGAAAGAGCAGGAAAAAGTAAGCCTGTTGATGGGAAAAAATATTGGTATTTCTTGAATGCACTTTAGGCTGCTGATTCCTAAAACTTCTGGATACAGGGGAGAGAGAGAAAGATGACTCAGAGGAGGGAAATAAAGGAAGAGTAGTAGAAAATTCAGAGGGAGAAAGAACATGAAAGAAAGAAAAAGATAATGCAGGATTAAACTGATAAAAGGAAGAGGTCTACAGCTGCAGTATTTTCTCAAAAATCACTTCCACTGAAATCTCCTTTCAAGGTAAAAAACTTTCATCTCAGTACAGCAAATATTGGCAGTGTTGCCTTTCTAGAGGAGAGGCAGGAGAACAGGAGCTTTAGTTACTGGTTAGCCAAGTGAGTTAGCAGCTCCCAACACACTACACAGCAATGCTCAGTGCCAATTCTGTTCCCCCTCTTTTCCATGTTACCTTGAAGAGACGTGCATTAAAATGATTTAATTGTTAAAAACTCCTTTACTCCATCAGCACTGCAGATCCTCATTCTATTATTCCTGTTTGTCATGTTAACTCATGGAAATGATGAGTGTTTTCCTTGCAAAATCTTCTCCCAAACATCCTTTTTTCAACTGAAATTCTTGTAGTCTACCAACACCAGTCCTGAAAGAGTCTAGAAAGCTCTCATGCACAGATGATCCACCACCAGAAACCCCAGCTAAGGTAGAAATAAGTGGTAGATCTGAACCACATTGATGCTGAAACCACGGAGCATCTCCATTCACAATGTAAATGGCTACAGCTCCTCCAAGGACAGCCAAGGACATCAAGGACTCACTGTCACTCTGGAGGAGGCCCATGCTGAACCTGGCCAGCTCACAGCCTCTGCTTAGTGTTTTGGTCACTACATGGAACTTGTTTTGTTGGAAAATGGAAGTGTCGAGCACTTACTGGATTCGGCGTTTTCACAAGTTTCCATTTCTGCTGTTTCCTCCTCCTCTTGCTCATCAGTGTCTCCTGATTCATCACTCTCTTCTATCCATTTTCCTGGCATCAGCCCTGCTGAGTCATAGGAGTTGCAGAGTGGTCCCACGATGTGGGTGATGAAGGACTCCTGGAGGTGTGCCAGCTGGGGAGCAGAGCGGTCCATGAAAGGGCTGATGGGCAGCCCCAGGCTGGCCTCTTCATCACCCTGCAGATGAAAAACAGCCATCATTTCTCACAGCTAAGTGAAACAAAACCATGCCACAAAAAGGACTAAAGCATATCCAGCCAATTAAAAATGCTGAAAGGACAACTTCAAGGTGCCAGCCTGTGGTATTTGTGGGATGCCCCGTGGCAGGAAGGAATGATGAATCTGACTCCATGTCATCACAAGGCTAATTTATTATTTTATGATACTATATGATATGAAAGAATACTATACTAAACTATACTAAAGATTACAGAAAGGATACTTACAGAAGGCTAAAAAGATAATAATGAAAACTCATTACTCTTTCCAGAGCTCTGACACAGCTTGATCCTGATTGGCCAATGAGTCAAAACAATTCATATGAAACCAATGAAACAATCACCTGTAGGTAAACAATCTCCAAACACATTCCAAAGCAGCAAAAGACAGGAGAAGCAAATCAGATAATTCTTGTTTTCCTTTTTCTCTGAGGTTTCTCAGCTTCCCAGGAGCAAAATCCTGGGCAAAGAGATTTTTCCAGAAAATACGAATGCCACACCAGCCTGGCACTTCCATCATGACAGTGCCATCATGTCAAATGGGCACCGTCACAGCTCTTTTCTTGTAGGAGCTGATCCCAACCCACTACCAATAATGTGAATGTAACGAGGATGAACTTAACAATGACTCTGCAGAAGGATGCCACTAGCCCTGAACTCTACCCTGTGTTAAAACTTGAAAATTGTTATTTCCTTTCTTCACATTATTTAAAAAAAAAATCCCTTCTGACTGTGTGATCGTTAATTCACAACAACCTTGTTTACAGGGAATAAGACATCTACAAGACAGGGCTGTCTCACCAGACTAGTTTTGTTATTGATTTCATCCTTATTAAAAGTAACCTGGAGATGACCTTTTGGCTTTGGGTCATAAATATTTGTTTCCTGTGACTATTAGAATGATCCCAGTTAAAGCAATGTATGACATTCATTTCTTCAAACACAGTAAATCTTTCCCACAAAGCTTTTTTGGGGGAGACAGGGAGGCATAAGATGAGTTTTTCCTCTCTCTTCTCATGATGTAAAATGAAGTAAAACTTCATTGCAGAGCCAAATCTGATATACTCAATTCCCTATCACAGCAAAGCTTCTGGTGATATCAGTGAGCTTTCAGCTGAGCAGACATGACCAGACCAGATGCTATCCCCCCCCAAAAATATCTGACCCCCCTAATCAAGCCTGACATGTAACTGATTGCTGTAATACAATACAGAGTTCTACATTATGGGATACATGTTAGAATTTGGAGATGCATTTTCAGTTTCCATTATGTTTGCTTATATTTATTGCCTTGTAATGTAAATTTTTCAAAAGTAATGGTCTTCACAGCTGACCAACATCCTATCTGTATTTGGTGAAGGCCAAAAAATGAGAGCTAAATTTTGGAGTATGTACAGCAAATATCTCATTTCCTTGTGTTTTGTTTTCTTATTTTATAATAACCAACCCTGAAATGTTATGTGCAATCATTAAAAACAAAGTATTTTGTGTTGACAAAACACCGAAACATGAGATCCATTCTTGAAATAGCAAGGAAATTAAGAAGAGGTGACAGCTTGCTCTTCTTTACAAAAACATGTCTGAGATTTCCTAGCTGTGAACTGGGAGAAATGCTGACTGTTGAAATGTTTACAAATTCTTCTTTATTTTTCTGTTAAAACATGATTTATTATGAGAAACATCTTGCAGTGTGGGTTTTTTAAAGTCTAATATGTCTGTCTTCAAATAATTCTACTGGACATGTGAAGAGAAGGAAACATCCTGCAACAATATGACACAGGATTTTGAATATTTTTATACAATACATTTTTAATAAGCAGTTTTTATTTATATGGGAGTGAAATTCTTCAAAGGAATTGGTGTTTATTGTAACAAAGACATTTCATGATTTTCACAGCCTAGGTTGAATTCACATATGTGTGAATTTTGATAATACTTCCAGGGAAATTCAAACTTCCCATAAATTTGTCCTTTTTAGAAATGAAAATATGAAGACTTTTCCAGTCACAGAAAAAAATCTAATGCTCATAACCATGGTGAACATGGTTTGATACACCTCTTATAGCATATTAAAGAAAAATAGATTTTAATAGAGATAAAAGTAACTGAGAATCTAGCTTATCCTCCTTAATGCCAAAAAGAAATCCAAGAAAGAAAATGTTCTCTGTTCTGGATCCCATTTCTGAATGATGGAAAATAACACAGGCTCATGCTGTGGAACAGGTAACACAGTATCTTCCCACATCTGTATCCTCACAAGCTTGATTCACTCTCCAAGGCTTTGCTGTTGTTAATATATTGGGGCACTTCCCTCTGATATAACTTTAATTGGAAAAAAGGAAAGCCATATTCTACATCTGATTGCCTGCTTCTGTCTGCATGAACTAGTCACCCACACAAGCTTTGAACATCACCAGAACTATGAAGCACAGTTTGTTTTTGACAGTGGTAATGAAGAAGAAAAGGATTTCCTGAAAGAAAATTTGGGGCATGAAGGTTGTTTTGAGACACACACTCTTTGTTTAAGAAAAAAAATGAAAACAAAAATGGAACCAGCTATATTCATACTATAGGTAAGGTTCTTTGTACTTTCTTTTTCTTGGGAGATTTGAAAGAAAGGAAGAAGCTTCAGGTCAGTGTCTGAATTATGTCCCTGTCTCTTTACATTCTCCAGAAGGCAGCACCAAATCCTGGTTGGAAATTTTTTTCCCAAACTGTAAGTGCAGTAAATTTAAGGGAAGTTGAAAAGCTTTAAAAGGGATTAGTCTGTGACTCCAAGTTACTGCACAGCCTCCCTGAGAAGTCTGTGGGTTGTCTAGTTCAGTGATTTAGCCTGCTTGCCTTGTCTGGAAAAGAAAGGATGTGGAGTTCAATCTGACCAGAACATTCAAAATGTTCCCACTCAGGAAACAGAGGAACAGTGTGGAACAGCCCTGACCCTTGCACTCAGCAGGGCAAAATTGGTTAAAATGAGAAAAATAGGTTCAATTAAGGGCTCCCTTACACCTAGAAAGAGAGGAGCAGTGCCTGGCTGTATTCCCAGGCTTTCTAAATCAATCTGTGCCTGTCCTCCTTCCTTGTGCCACCAGCATGGCCTTGCATAATGAGTGCAGCTGTACTGACCAACCTCTGAGAGCTGCAAGGGCTGTCTTAAAATTGAAATATGGGTCTGGGAGCAGCTGTGGTTGGCCTGTGATGAACTGAAAGCCAGCAATGCAGTCCTGCTCAGCACATAAAGGTTCTGGTTGTGTGAACAGAGGTGTGGCCTGCAGAGAAGCTGAAACAATCCCACTGCTCTTTTTAGACCATCTGAACAAGGACATTGTGAGACTACATGTCAATAAAAGTGTGAGACTGCAGAGGAGAGACATGAGAACCAGCTAAAAGAACACATAAGGAAGGGTGAAAACATGGTTTGCACTAAAGAAGAAGGAAATGACAGCCATGATGGAAAGGAAAAAACAGGAGAAAAAGACCAGGAAAAAAAAGAGAAAAAAACAGGAAAAAAACAAGAAAAAAAAGAGGAAAAATGTTCACCATGCCAGTGCTTGTTCACAGTGCCAGACTTGAACAGTCCAGCCTGTAGAGACACCATCACCAGAGGTCTCTGAGGACACATCAGAAACTTCAGTGACAAATGGATTTTTTCACTGGTCCAGCAAAAAAATTGATTAATGTAACTCTAGCCAACCTCTTCACCCCTATTCTCTGTGATTTTTCACTGGCCAGCAGCACTGTCATGCAGCAGCTTTGGAATGCCTTTACCTGCTCATAGAACTCATTGACGATGCCCTCTGTCCACTGCAGGTGCAGGTCCTTGCACTTGGCAGGCCCGTTGATGTCAGCCAGCTTGATGCACATCTGGCAGACCAGCAGGCGGTCGTTCTCGTTGGTCCAGTCAATGCCAACATCATCGTTCACCTGGGAGACACAGAAAAGGGAAACCAGGATGGTGATGCCAGGCAAAAGAGGAAAATCTGACCTGGGCTATTGCACAATACATTCAGCTATTTAACAAAATCACTAGCATAAGCAGGTGAGCTAACCCCAGGCTGGAATTAACAATATGGAAAGGGAAAAATAAGTGAAAAGCAATATAAAATATTATATATATATATATATATATATATATATATATATATATATATATATATATAATTTAGCATATATAAATACATTATAAATATAATACAGCAGCCAAAAGGACATTCAGAAGAAATAGAAACCCGTTTTGCTGGGTGCCCCCAAGGCCCACAATCTTTTCTGACCGTGCCCCAGAAACCCAAACTGATCTCACCTTGGCGTTGAACTTGGCCACGAAATCAAAGTGCTTCTTCAGGTCAGTAGCCAGGATGGCCTCGATGACGAGGAAGCGGAAATGCTTGAACTCCACGTGGTCCAGGTTGACCAGGAAGTTGTACTCTGGCCTGGACATGAAGAGGTTCCAGGCAGCAGCAGCGTGGTGGTTCTCCAGCACAGAGCGGTCGTTGTACAGCACCGCCTGTGGAAGCAGCACAAGGAGCAGCTGAGGAACATGTCAGCAAAATCATTTTGGCAAAACCATCTACACAAAACCATCCTAGCAAAATCATCTCAGTAAAACCATCTCGGTAGAACCATCTCGGCAAAACCATCTTAGCAAAATTATCTTGGCAAAGCCATCTTGGCAAAACCATCTCAGCAAAATGATCTTCACAATACCATCTTAGCAAAATCTTCTTAGCAAAAACCATCTTAGCAAAATAATCTCAACAAAGCCATCTTAGCAAAACCTTCTTAGCAAAATCATCTTGGCAGAACCCTCTTCACAAAATCATCTTGGCAAAACCATTTTAGTAAAATCATCTTGGCAAAACCCTCTCAGGAAAATCACAGTAATGGATCATCCTGTTTCAGGCCACGGGTTGATGGCTAATAAAACATAGGTGTGTGCTTCCCTGATTGTCAGAATAAACCTCAATTAATTACTGCTCTTTGCTAATTGCACCAGGCAGTGGTGTCCAGGCAGTAGGACTGATTCCAAAGACAGAAACAGGTGAAATTCCAGTTTGCAACCCAAAAACACACACTCAGGCTGACAGATATCTCAGGGCTAAAATCCAAAATGGGTGAAATCTTTATCAAAATAAAATGCTGAACTCTCATTAGGGATGGTAATTCCATTCAGAAAATAACAAGAAAATTATTTTTCCTATTAATTTATTTTCAAACTAGAGTCAGTACATAAAGGCGAATTATCTAACTTCCTTTTCTGTTTTTTACAAGCACAGAGCTACAGCACTTGTTTCTTACAATTAAAGACAGCACATGTCTTCTCCCAGTCTATTTACCTGGCCAAAGTATCAAAGCTCCGGATCACAGAAATGCATTGCAAGGATGAGAAGCATTTCTATCAATTCATAGACACAAAGTGATACCAGAGTGAGTTCAGGTGACTTGCTCTTGGTGACAGAGGAAGTTTGGTTGCAAGCTGGGGAGTAAATCCAGACTTTCTGCATTCCTACCTGACCTGCCACCATTAATATATATATATATTTTTTTTTTTTAATTTCCTCATCAATAGAAGTATTTTTCATCACAGTGTGCTGAAGCCAGGCAGGTCACCTATGTAAAGCAAGATGGTTTCATAGTTAAGCCAACAGGGAGTGACTCAGAATTGCTGAATTCAACTCTCAGGACTGGCAGCAACTTCTGTGTAACATTAGGCAAGGCTCAATTCTACATTTATAACACTGAGATTATTTTCCACTTCCTGCTTCCAAATACTTTTATAAAAAGACTGAAGCTGCTCATATTCTGTAGAAGCAACAGAAAATGTGTTATGATCACACACAATTAACTTGTAAAGCACAGTCAGGTACACAACTGGGATGTTTTATTTTATTTAATCTTACTGTGCATTACTTGGTAGAACAATTCTTCCATTCTTCCACGGTTGCAGGTTCTCTTTCAGTCAGCAGAGCTTTACCTTCTTCATTGGCACAGTTTATCAGTACCTTTCTCAGCAGCTCTGCTAACTGAGGGTGTGTAAGAAGCCTCTTACCAGCAATCCCCAAGTGAAGTGATTATTTCTGTCACTTTGACAAGCTGTTTCAAAATATTTGGCAGCCTTGTGCTTAATGGAAGCCACAGGCACCACCAGCAAGGAAAAGCTGTCATGGAGACCTTCCAAACTGCACAGCAACACTGCCTGAGGTTTATTTACCTGAGGAGCACTCGTTGCTACCAAGAAGGCATTGGTCCTTCCTGGGTGATCATAGTCATGCATGGCTGCAGCCACATAAAGAGCCATCAGCTCCAGGGCAGGGATGTTGCCAGCCAGGCACCCATAGCTGTCATCTGTAGGTGTGTATGTCTTGGAAAACACATATCCCATGTGGCCGTGGGTGATCCCACTGTCAGAATCTGAGCAGAAAGAAAGAAATGGAAACAGTAAAAAATCCAGGGCCACTCTTTCAGTGAGAGAAGCAATAGAACAGGGAGAGAAGGAGCAAATTTACAGTAAGGATAAATGCAGCCTGACCTCAGGGCTTTCTGTGCCTCTGATCCAGTACAATAAGGCAAACAATTGTAAAGGAACAAATTCTGATCCCACCTGGGGATCTTCCAGCCCTCCAGCAAAACCTACTCTCCAACTATGTAAGTTACAAGCAGTGAGACATGGATTGACAGCCATTCTGGAGCTTTGTGGGGAAACTTGATCTTCCCACTCCTTTCTCTAATTTCTTTTATCATGTAGACAAGTCCATGAAACACTGATAGTCCTTAAAGCAATGGACTAGAATTTAATAATTAAATTACAGTGCATGTTTTCCAATTGAAATGTCTAGACTTGGGATCTTTGCTCATAATCCTCTTATCATCATCTTTCTGAAGCTTCTTGAGCACACCTGTCAGAGACAAATACTGAGATGCTCTGCTAATTTAATCTGAACAACCTCGAATGGATCTTGCATGCAGCTGAACAATGTCTTTCAAATAACAAACATCAAAAAGCCCCAGAACTCAACCCCTTTCATTCCACCTCACCTACAAAGCCACTGAAATCCCTTGCTAATAAATTTTTCCAGGAATAAAACCCTTTACCACCACACAAAACAAAAACAAACAAAAAACTCAACAAAAACAAAACAAAACCAAACAGTAAAAAAAGAAGCAGAAATGGAACAAACTCCTGCTTTTCCAGCAACTCTCTGAGAATTCCCATGAAACACAGACAGGTCTTCTAGTTACCATACTGAACATGGAGAAGTTAATATAAAAATGCAAGAAGAACAGCTTCCTGTAGTGAGCAATCATAAAACAGAAGAAGAGTGGTCTTGTAAAGCAATTGCCAGATGGTAAAAAGAGATAGAGAGGAAAAGCAAAGAACACTTCATGATAGCCAAGCAGTGGCAAGTGCACAGCACTGCCTGCATGCCCCAGAAATTGTAGAATAGCAAAACAATGAAGGGTTTAGGGATTTAAAGAAGGGTTTAAGGATTTAAATCTACAGTGCCTCTGATACAGCCCTGAAAAGCACTAATAATGCAGTTTTCCTAGGAAAAAACCTTTTGCAAATATCAAATGGTAACAAAGATCTGTCATTAAAGGTGACCACAAAGGCTTGCATTCACACATCATTAAATGTGAAGTATTAGGTTTTGGAGGAACAATTCCATTCCTTCAAAGTTACACAAACACACCAGAACACCTTCAACACCCATTGTGCTACTGAACTTCCACACTGTGTTACAGACTGCAAAAAAATTCTACCTGCAATCCCCAGCTGTTGCCTTTCTGACAGCAAATTTCATCAGAGAAACTTGAGGATGATGACATTTAAATATACCTGAATCACTGGCCGAGCCGTGGTCATTGATGACAGTGGGGAGTCCCGGGATGGGCTGGGTTGTGAGGTACCACACGGCGTGCAGCACATCCGTGGCATGGATTCGGTTGTGATCTGTGATGGGGAGAAAACCAGGCAGCTGTAAAACACCAGGCACTGCTGACAGAGGGCTGCCAGCACCATCTAGTGGTACCGTGTGCCAAAATCCAGCAGAGACAAAACCAACATTAGCACGAGCAGCAGAACTGCTTTTGCCTTTTCCACAGAAATGAAAAAAAGAAAGATAATTTGATTTTGTATTAGAAAGAGATTCTTCTTTAGTAGAAAAAAAAAAAACAAGAAAAAAAGAAAAAAGAAAAGAACCTTAAGAAAAAAAAAAAAAACAAGGAAATGCAATTCTAGGTTCATAAAAATCCCAGAGACTCTATAAACAGTTAAATGTTTCAAACAGAAAGGAATGGCTTCAGCAGAACAGGCTGTGGGACTTCCATCTCCAACCTCCTCAGGCTGTGATCTGCTGCTTTGGATCCCTGATCCAGCTCAAACACAAGGAAAGGATCAAAACTGGGGCACTCACTTTCCCAGAATGGACTCCAAACCACCTGGCTGAAGGCATTTTCAAGTAGCTTTCCTTAAATCCCTCCCACTGCTCCAACTGGTATTTAATATTTGACAGAGAGACTATATGACTTATAATGATTTCTCCCACATTTTTCTGCAAGTGTAGAGAAAACAGGGTGTTCTGTGTTCCTCAGCGCTGGGTTTATCTGCCACTAAAATGGGTAATAACTCTTTCCTCTTGGAGAAACAAGTGTCTTTTGCAGCTGAAGCACTTTGATAAATTTGATTTGAATTAGTAAATACTTTGGGGATGCCTGAAAACAGGTTTTTCAGGGAATAAATGATTCCCACTGAAAAACATCAGCTAAGCTGTAGTAACAGAACGGGGTTCACTCATGTTTTGGGCATATTTCTTCTGCTTATAAAACTCATCTCCTTTGGTAGCATAGCACTGCTACTGTGTAAAAGTCCAAGTTGCCTTTAGGGGGTTAAATGTTTCAAGAACCTCCAACCCAACCGGAGCACTGGGGTACATTTGCATTATCAGGAAACAATCTTTACTAATAATAGCTTTATATGATTTCTGGATTTCTGGCAGATTTTGCCATGAATTATAAAACAGTGTAAAAGATGAAATACAAAGAAAAAAAGATGACAGGCTGTGGTTCAGCATCGGCCTCTGCCTAGACATCCGCTTGGTCATGATGTACTGGAGGAAAAAATATAGCTTTATAATGCCAGAAGGCTTCAATACAAAATCCCCAAAACTTGAGGGAAGCATCAGTAAGTGCCAGGAATTTTAAAATTTTTACTTACAAGGTATCTCTCGGTATCCACACTCCAAGGCATGAAAGTAGTTCATAAATTCCCTCACTGGTATTTTAAAGGTTTCAAACAGCCCCATGTCATCAAAAAGCCTGTATGATACCTGAAAGAAAAAAAACAACAAAAAAATCTATGTTGCTAAGTAGATGAGAAAAACTCTACAAATTAGATATAAAACTCCTTAGCTTGAATTACCCCATAGAAATCTGCTTTTCTGGGAATGTTTTCCTAACTCCTTGGCTCAAATCAATTCCCAGAAAAGGAAGAAGCAGCAAAGGACTGACAGAAGGCAGAACCACGTGGCTCCTATGCATTGTGTCCTTGCTTTCTCTCCAGTTTTGGTGGTGAAATGATAAAAATGACTCCACCAGGATATCAGGGGCAGCAAATAGCTCAGGAGGCAGAGCTGCTCTAGGCATTCCTGCACCCAAAGTGACTCTAAACATCCAGGAGAGGAGGTACTGGGAAGGAGAGTGCCATGGGTGAGTGAGGAGGTGCTCAGGAGAGATGAATGCTCAGAAACATAGGTAGCAGCTGACACAAAATGGGCACTTCTGAAGACAAGTTTGAACTTGACATAACAAATAATGGGACAGAGTAAAATCACTGCCTGATCTTTTCACTGCTGTTGCAAATTGAACCTTAAAGCCTTGCAGAATCTTTATTTATTTACTGCTCTTAGCTAAATTTCTTGGAGGACACGTGCAAAGTTTAGATTTGCAGTTCCCTTCTCAGTGCCTGCAGTCAGCCCTCTCTCAGCCCTATTTATTTATCTCATGTGTTTGCTTCCTTCAGACATGTGTTCCTTAGAAACTGCTGCCATCCAGTCTGTGGCTCTGACAAATTCCTCCCAAGGCTGCTGTGTTATTCCCAGGAATATCCCTTCTCCCATGTGTGGTGATGAGAGAGCCAAATGATCCTCCTGTCATCCTGCAGGGACCATCTCAGAGGCCCTGCAGTGATGCCACCCTGCCTCTGACACTGCTCCTGTGCTGCCAGCATTGAAGCACCCCCACTTCTCTCTATAAAATAAATATAATAAATATATATTTGTGGAAACCCAGGGCACTGGGAATATTTCTCTGTCTGCTCTGGGGTGCCCTGACCCCCAGGGGAGCACTGACTCTGACCCTCATTCATGGAGAAAGTTTCCTACACTTCAAGACAGACTGGAATCCACAAAAGTGTGAAATAGATTATAGAGAGTAGTGCAGGTGCATCACTGGGTGAGAAATTGAGGGTTTGGGATTTTTAGTGTGTTGTGGATGGAAGCAAGATGGAGGGCACAGGGTGTTATCCTGGGTTTCTTCTTCATGCTTCTTCTTCCTCCTTCTTCATGGGTTTGGGTGGCATTTTGTAATTGGGCAGAAAAGTCTGCATTGGAGCTTCTGTGGGATCAGTTATTGGGTTAAAAGGGAAAATAATCCAGGTGTCAGTTCTTAATTGGACAGTTAAGTCTTAAAAGACCTTGTACCAAGAGATTGTTGGTCATTTTGTGCCTTCCAATGAAAAGCTGCTGAAGTCACAGTAGTGAGGCTGTTTTATTGATAAGAAATAATAAACACCTGAGTGTGAACATGAACTACTGTCTCAGGTGCCTTCAATCCAGACCCAGAGAAACCCACAACTGGTACCACCACATATACTGGCCCAGCAATAAAAGCTAAACCACAGGTTTTAGTCTTCCAGGAGCTGTAAGAAAAGTGTTAAGTGTGACTGAAGATATTATTGAATTTTATGGCCTCTTATGAAGCAACAGCTGAGTTCTGAGAGCTTGGCTCTGTTTCTGAAACGAGATTGAATTTATGCTCCTCTCTGAACCCTCTCATGCACATTTGTCACTGCCACATTGACTGGGCTTGCCACTCCAGTTTGCACAGATGCTTTCATGGCTTCTGACTGGTTTGGGGTCTTTTCATATGTCTAAATCAATTTAACATTCCACAAAGAAGGAACAGATATCTCAAGCAGCTTCAAAGATGCTAAGCCAGCATTTGCCTTCTAAACTGAATGCTTCCCTGGAGGCATGTGTCAACTCTGCTTTGTTCCATCTCATAAATTTAACCTAGCATGGCAAACATAGTTAATTCAGCTTTTTAATTTACTTTTTTTTTTAAAATGGGTTAGTCCATTTGATAGCAAAATACTGAGAATAAGTCATTAGAGCTTTTGTTTACCTTTGTTAATAATATCCCAGGATTTAGAAATCAAATCAGGAAAAAAAATAGTGCTTTTGGCTGAAAAAAAAATATTTATTTTCGTTTCCTGATTTCTGAAAATAATTTCATTAGCAACATCTGAGTAGGTGGGGGCAATAAGGATCTCTATTTTGTGAACAAGGTAGAACTTGCTATATTCTTCTTTTAGGGAGAGGGAGTTATAAACAGCTGTTACAGAAAATGTTGGATTTTCATCTATTCTCTATTTTATTTCTCAAGCCTCATTTTGTGGAACTGTGAAGGGGAGAACATGTTGAGAACCTGTGCAAAAACCACATTTTGGGAAGTAGAGTGAGGAGCTTTAGTGCAATATGAGGGAAGCACAGAGGACTTGTGTCCAGAGGTACAGAAGCCCATGCAGCTTGGTCAAGTGCTTAAAGCCTACAGAGGGACCCAGGTAAAACCAGAACAAATTCTGGCTCATCCAAACTGTTCTTTATGCCATTAAAAGAAAGTTCTGGTTTTCCTCATGTTTCATTCATCATTCTATTATCATTCCATGCTATGAGAAAGATGAGCACTATGATCTAGAAGAGCATTTCACACATCACACACTCACTGTCCAGTGCAAAAGTGCCTCAGTGAGCATCACTGAATTTATTCACCAAATATATCCAATATCCACAGTTTGCCTATTTCTCTAAAATGAACCTAGAGATTTGGCAGGCTGGTCAAACTCAGATGTTGCTTGCCAAGCTACAGAACACAAAAAGGCAGAGCACAGAATAAATCTGAATTCATGCCATGGTTTTCCTTGTTGACCACCAGATAATTGAATCTAGCTGAATAATAGGTAACCACCAAGGGACTGTGGTTTGATCCAGCATTCTCTGGAGCTTGTTACACTGAAATCTGCCTGACACACTGACCTCTGTGTTTCTGGGGGGGTGATAATTGTACCACATTGTACCAATTAACTTTATCTCTTCTTTCCAGCACTCATCACTACATAATGCCTTGTAAAGTGATCCTCACTCAGTCTGATTCTCTAGGGCTTTTTTTCCCTTTCATCCCTAAATAATAATAAAAATAATTACTTGCTTTTCCTGTTTAATATTCTTCAATACTTTTATAAGAAAAAATGACTAATTTGTCAGTGTGCCAGGAAAAGGGGCATAACAGAGTAGAAAGTTCAGCCAAGAAAGTGATTATGGTAGGTCACACCAATCTTGCTGGGCAGGCACAGGCTGTGTCAGTAACTGAATCAAACCCACAGGAAGGAATAAAAGACTGAAAGAAAGACTAGTAAGCTCTCCCAACTCATAGCAAATCTTCCCTACATAATATTATATGAATTTTCTCTTAAAGTTCTGATTCTTAAAAATGGGGGAATCTAGCAAGAATTCTTTCTACCCCCACTTCCTCAAAGCTTGCTTTCTTGCCCAGCCTGAAATCTGAAACATTTCTGGGATCTTATACTGAAATCTTCCGTATAAAAGAGGACCAAACTCTGTATATCCTGCTTCCACTGAACATATTATTGTTTAGCCCTCCCATGCTAAACCCCATGAGAAATCCTTTCCCAAGGAACTCAGTAAGGGCTGGAAGTATCTCAAGAGAATATTCAGAAGAGCAGAGAGCAGACAGCAAAATAGGTGCGTGATTTATCTTTCACATTTTTAAATTTAAAAGTAAGGATATTCAAAAGTAAGGAATATAATGAGACAGAGTTCATATTGTCAGCTTTGAATTAGGTGTCAGGGATCATCAGCTTGTAAGGAAAATGGCTTTTAACATGTCTGTGTCTAAATCTGCCAACATTTAGACCCTGCAGACAAGGTGCACCCTCTCACCTGACTGAGAATCCGACCGCATTTCTTCCCAATTTTTTCCACCAAATCAAAGATTGGGAAGTTCCAACTATTTAGCTGCTCCATCAAGGGATCCAAGTTGTCCATAACCAGGGGCTCAGGAGCCAGTACAGGCTTGTCCTGCACCAGAAATCAGAATAAAAGGGATTGTTAGTTCAGCAAAGCATCTCAAGGAAAAATTGATGCTTTTGAAAGTTGAAGTCACATTAGCATCATGTGTAAGTCTGTAGTACTTCACTCAGCTTGGATAGATGTCCTCATTTCTTGCAGCCCTGCAGCTACTCACTCTCCTTTGTAATGTGTTTCACTTGAATGGATAGGAAATTCTGTTTATGAAACAGCAGTGCCTGCACTTAGCACTGAGACTCATTCATTCATTCACTCCTGGGAATCATTCACTCATTTCCAAGGGAGGCTGCCTTCATTGTGAAATTCACTGTGGTGCAGAGAGAAAAGCTCCCAGCTTCTGCTTCTGCATCAGGACCCATTCACTACACTCTAGAATGCCTAACAGAGCTCAGTCCAAGTGAAGATTTGTAGTCCTTAAATTGAAACCTCTCTGTCTTTCAAGGTCTGCAAATAAAAGTTGGGTTGTGCCCCTCCTTTCACATTTCCCCCTGTATACTCCCTGGAATTTCATTTTACTTAGAAACTGGAGATGAGTAAATGCCAGAACATTTCAAGCAAAATGCTTTCTCTCAGCATGTCCAACTCCAGCAGATTACAATAAATTTTTCAAGAGCTCCTGCCAACTGCAGATTATTAATTCAGTTGTACAACAGGCTGTGGAAAACTTAACTAAACAGAGCTTTCCTCTGCATCTCAACCAAGCTTACAGCTGAATGCTGAGAGACAATCATCACTTGTTCATCACACTGCAACATTTGTTCTTTAAGACAATAATACCTTGCAGCACCCTTAGACCACAGTGGGGATCTGGGTATTTGGTTAGTTTGATTTTGATTTTGGTTTTTTGTCCCCCTCAGTGTCAGCATACACTCATTCTGTTGTGCTGGGGGAACTTAGAGGAGCTACCTCAGGTGGTGTCAAGGGATGCAGGATGATGGTCTCAGGTGTGTAGGACCTACAGCCAGATCCCTTCTGTGGCTGCTCCTTGGAGCAATCCGTGTCGTCGTCATTCTGCACGATGTCACTGCTGTCGCTGTTGTTGGTCTCGTAGTCAGAGGTGGCTTGGGCAGGATCCTCTGCAAACACAAATCACAAACTTGTGCTGTGAACAGCAAGGGTTTCATGGAAGTTAGCCTGTGACCTTCTGAGTAACACCAACAGGAGCTCTGACTCATAGTACATATGTGCTGCTTGGCTGGCTCTGAAGTTGCACAATCTGTCCAAGGGCATTAAAGATTTACCCTGCAGCGTGTAAAAAATGGCAGCAGGGAATGAAGAGAGAAAAAATTCTGAGGACCATTATTTAAGTAAATTGAGGGGAACAGTATCTCCTTATAATTTAACTCCATAAGCATTTTGTACATGTTGTACAGAGGAAAAGGGAAGGAGCATTTGGACATGAAATTGTCAAAGACAATTTGTATAGACTCACCTGGGTGAGCTCTCCTTTTATGACAGACAAGCTCGTCTGCCCTTTTAGTGGATAATTACTTAATTTGAGGGAACAAGGTGTTTTGACAAAGAATTACCTGTTCTGTTCAGGGTGTGTGTAGTAGTATCATTTCTATTTAGTGTCCCATCACCAGCTTCTATTTGATTGTAGGGTCTGCCACAGCTGAAATACATCAAGAAACACAGACAATATGAAGAACCACGTGCCTTAGACAGTCCTGTGTAAAAGGATTTCCCACTGGCAGTGTGAGATTATGTCATACAGTGTAAGTCATGGTCCTGGGTATGTTCTCCAGACAAAATCACAGGAGAGTGATAAAGTTTTATTGGATCTTGAGACAAAAATACAGAAAGACCTTGGATTAACTGTCCACCACCATTAAATTTGTGAATTTATGTTTTCAGCAGAAAACTTGAACCATGTGATTTCTTTAAATGATTTTTTTATTATTCTGTAAGTATACCAGCACAAAATAAACCCCCTAGTTCTATATTACAGATGCCCTATAAAGATGAATTAAAATTATGAAACTGTGCCAGAGTCCCATACAATCTTACAGAATTCAGTTTGAACACAGTCATGATCTGGCTTCACTCTTCTTGCCTAAAATTTGAATATGTTCCTCTTAAGGAGGAAAATTATATTTTATCATTAATTCAGTGACAGCATTCCAAGTACATAAGAACCAAGAGGGCAGAGTTTGCTTCATCATTTCCAGAACAGAAACACATTTTGGGAGGGATCACAGTATGATGACCTTTTAAAATGACTGGCTCTTCCCTTCCATTAAAAAGCTTTATTCCTTGTCTATAGTTCCCTTTAAACCCTAATTACAGCCTGACATTTTCTCTGATTTAAGTCAGCATTTTGTGGCACATCCTATATATAACTGTCTTCAGAAAGCAACTATTACAGAATTATTTGAATTGGTCAAACTTTTTACTAGAACCTTTGCACCATTTTAAGTTCAATATATAAAAATGGCTTAACTCCTGGGCCAGTTAGCTTTTGGCTGGGTCATACAAACATATCCTGGAGCTGGGTATGCCCTGCAAACATCACGAGTTCCTGAAAGACTTCCAGATTAAAATGCTCATCTGTATTCAATGATACCTGTAGTGCATAGCCAAGCAAATAAATCTTGTGTCAGTCAGGTTGATAAACAAGATGAAAAAGTATTAATTTCATTACTATCTTCAACAACCTTACATTGATTCTTTTTTGACATTTTTAATGCAACTCTTAACTGTTCTTTTTAATAGAAATCTTCCAGAATGAATGCCACTTGTGAAATAACTGTATTTTGTTGAAGTGGTAAAGGCACAGCTTAATAACACTGCAGCACCTTTATGCTATGTTTCTGTTGCATAATACAGTTTTAATTTCAAATGAACCTCTCCAAATCCCAGTTTTGGTATACCTTTGGAAAACTCTTAAAAGCACTTAAATTTTTATTTAGTCATCTAAATCCATCTCAAAAGCCTGTTCGGATCCTACTCCAAACTCCAGTGAGGATGACTCCCTTGAGCAACGTTGCAGTCTCAATTTTGACTTTCTCACAGCCACTTCCTGGCCTTGCACACAGCACACTGAGACACATCCAAAATCATGTGACTGAAAGCAGAAACGAAAAACTATTTCCAAAGATAGTCAAACTTGATAGTGCCCTCTGCTGGCTGGCCACTCGTGCTATGGCCAAAAGCAACATCTGGTGAGCAAAGCAGCCTTGAAACTGCACTGGAACAGGCTTGGGAGTACCAGTGTTTTCCACTGTTCTGAACTGGACACATACTGCAAACTCCAGCAATTTCATTTAGCAACTGAGTCCTTTCTGAGAAGACAAGCAGAACAACTTTCTTTCCAAAAAAGCTAATTTTGCAAAGCAGGTCTGGTTTGTGTTCCCTAATAAAGGGGTACTTTAAAGTAAGAAATTAAACTGTGTTACTGGAGCTCTTAGCAGTACAAAGAACTCATCTGCAGTTGATTTCTAGAAAAAAAAAATCCCCATAGTATCAAATCTTACTCTTCCTAGGGAAGACAGGACCCACTCCTCCTGAGAGAAGGCTCAAAAATCACGGTCTTCAGGCATTGTTGGCCTCAGCAGTCAGATTTTTTCTATGCACATCAGATGCCTGCTGTGCAAGCCTTGGCTGTGACCTAAAGGTGACTGCCCATGTCAAGGGCATGGCTCCAGAAACACAAGCTGCAAACATGAAATCCAACTTTAGGATCTGCAGGTCATTGACCAAGAATTTGTTTAGGAATCAGGCTGTCCACCTGACAGGAGCAATAAACATAGCCAACAGTCTCCCACTTTAAAAGTATTTTGTAGCATTGATCTACACATTTACTGAAGTACTATAAACCTGAAAAATCAATACAAACATTGTAGCAAATCACAAAAAACTTTTATGTGGGCCAATAGAACAAGTTCATGAGAACAGTGTGAAATGATTGCAAGTCATGTCAAATGATCATCTTACCTGCTGCAGATGATGGAGGGGCTGGTAACAGGGTCTGACAGGCTAGGTGCACTCTGAGTAGAAGTTAAGACTTTGTGTGGCTTTAGGCCCTGCTTGGTGTCAGTGTCTGTGGGCTCTGGAAATGACACAGAAGATGTTTTCCCAGTAGGACTCGTGGCAGGCGTCCCCTGAATCGGCGAATGGCACGGGGAGGTGAGAGGTGAAATATTTGGTGGGATACCTGGCGAAGGACAAGAGGAGTCTTATCAATTATCAGGAGTGGCAGATGCTTGTATTAGTTCACTGTGCAGAAATATTCTTCTTGAGATGCACCAGCATAGTTTCCAAAACCAAAATAGATAACAGAATTCCCTTCTCCACCCTGAGCCAAGCCCAGGGCTGTCACAGAGTGAGGAACTTCCATTGCTATCAGCCACTTTTACCTGCTGAAGATCTGGCCCAAAATACAAAGCATATTTTCCCTGGTGAGCAGGATGCACTGAGTGGACAGGCATAAAATGACAGAGGAGTTTGTGGCACCACTGCTGGTATCAACATGTGCTAGCGACAGAGACACAGCCCAAACAAGCAGCTCCCAGAGCCATCTGCAGCTTCTCTCTCACCATCACTAAAGCAGGGTCAAGGAAGGCTCACACACATTCCTAGAAAATTTGGATTTCTACATGTTTGAAGGCTAGCAATAGAGCAAAAAGAGCAATTTTTAGTAGTCATACATTATACAATACTGCACTTCAGGGGCATTTCTCAAAGATTTTGGCCTTGACCTTCAGCTTGAGTTTATTTTTCTATTTCTATTGCTCACTAAGGTAGAACTGCAACCATTTCAGCATTCTGAACCAGAGTACAGAAACTGCCAATATCCACATGTGCAACACCAGCAAGATGTAGTTCGCTCTGTCCCTTACTCCACCTGAGCACCACTGCCGAGGTGAAATGCATCCAGTGTTTAAACTAAGAGCTGCCTTCTCTTGGAATCCACTTTACAATTCCTAGTCTCAGACAAAACAAGACTCAAAGTGCAGAAGAGCAAACTTCATCTATCTTGAAAGGAAAGGCATTCAGTTAGCTCCTGTTCTGAAGTCTGCAGGAACTCAGCCCCAGTTAATTTACCACATTCATATTCAAAGCCAAAGGATAGCAAGGCCTTAGGAACTTGAAGGGGTTTTATGTTTCAATTTTGCCCCCTATCTAAATGCATTCCAGACACAAAAATTGTCTTAAAACAAGGCAATATGTTGATCTAAGTTTATGAAACATTAACCTTGCAGGATATACATGTACACTTCCAATGTTTTTTCCCTGTTAGAAACTTACTGTGATAAGAGGCTAAAATATGATTTACTGTTGACAATCCAAGAGTTTAAAAAAAGAAAAAAATCTGATACTTTCTGAGCTGTAATTTGGAGATATCCAGCATCTTTGTTTTGATTAAGGGTATTTCTTCAGGAAATGTGGTATGTATTTAGTGTCTTAATTCAATGATTGCAAGTAGGATGTAATGCCAGTCTTGAGATCAGAACACTACAGCCTTCAGAGCAATTAAAATGTTATTAGATGGCCATGACAGAGGGAAGTGGCTTTAAAACACAGAAAACCTCTGTTTCACATTTATGAATTCATTGAGATATCAGTTTTCCATCCACCGAAAATGTGTCTTTAAAAACATTTCACAGTCTGTTAGTTGCACAGAGGATTGAGTTGGATTATTGTCTATCTTTGAGATATATGTTACCAAATAATATTCACAATTCATAGAGGATGCAATACACATGGTCTTTCAATAATTTGAAACAAGTCCTGAGAATTTAAACAGCACTTCTCACAATAATGTCTCTAACCACAGCAAGCTTTCTACTGCTGGCAGAGATCCAGTCTCTTGAAATATTTTTTGTTGTGTGTACTCTTGGGGTTTTTAAAGAAAGTAATTTACCAGGGAAGGTAAACACAAATAAAATTACCAGGAAAAAAAAGCAAAATTTTTTTTCAATAATCCAACATTCAGCCATTTACTGGCAAAAGTGAGAGAAAACGTGTCTTGCTACAGCAAAGATTTTTTCACAATCAAGATACGAGAAACATGAAAATACAAAGAGAGTTATTTAAGTACATCCATGCACTTAGGTCCTCCAGAACTACTTCAAATGTGCAGTGTTGAAGATATAAACAGATATAAACCAGTGACTTCAATGTGATGCAAAACTACATATGAAAACATTTGAGTTTTTTCCAAAATAGGAATACCTAGCAGTATTTTAAAATGTGATGATGAGATAGAAAAATTAAAACTATCTCTCACAAACAACTTTTCCCGCCTGTACACATCAGGGGGTTGAGTGGCCAATCAATACAGAATAAGAACTTGTTAACAACCACCAAAGTGATTGGCAAGAAAGCTCCTGACCAATTGGAGTCACACATGAGGTCTGCAAAACTGTACCAAAAAGTGAATAAAGACTGGGTTTTTTCCATCATGAAGAGAGCAGGGTCCATGTGATTTGTAGGCACAGTCAGGCCAGGCTGGCAGAGCTGGGGGTGCCACTCACCTTGGCGGCTCTGCCTTTTGGCATTCAGGTGGTTGGTGGAGGACACGGCGTAGGAGGTGGAGAAGGACCTGCTCTTGGTGATTGTCATCAGAATGGAGCTGTTCCAGGAGTCAGAGCTGCCAAACCAGAGCACAGAAAAGCAACATTCAATGCAGGAAAAAGCCTCCTTAGTGGCAGACCTTATCAAGTGAGGAGCTGCAACAAGGAATATGTGATACTGAGATAGCTCAAAATCTGGTGAGAGAAATGACATCCATGGGTTGGCTGAAATGGTGCTTGTGTCCCACCTTCAGCAAAAATATTTACAATGCAGCCAGTCCAGACCTGGACTTCCCTCAATGCTGAGACCTATTTGCCTTATTTACAAAAAGATGCCTTCATTATAGTGCTCTGACAGCACAAAGAGGCTCAAAAGTTGGCTTGAAATAAGTTAATTTATGTTCTCCTTTAACACCTCCTTAAAAGAGCCAGAAGTGACACAAATTCTCAGCAGAACTTGAAACCCAGTGTCCTCAGCTGCTTGTGCCACAGCAGGCACACAACAACCCCTGGGGCACTGGAGGAACTCCTCAGGAGGCTGGGGAGGACTGGAAGTATCCTGCATGGCTGTGCTTAATGGTATGCCCCTTCATGCCCTAACCAGGTGAAATACCTGCTGAACTCCCCAAAAAATGCCTCTCTCAGAGCCTGGAGACATCAGGGCCAGAGAATTGTGCTGCAGGAATCCAGGTGCACGTGTCCTTGTGTGTGGGGAGCAGATTTTAGTCCCCTGCAGCAGCATGGGTTTATGATTTTAGCCTTTGGGTGGTAATTGTATGCCAGAAGAGGCCAAAATCTTCTACACAGCAAGAAAACTGTATTTATAATCACTTTCCTGAATGACACCCATCAAACGTCAGCTTCTTGCAGGGATGCAGCACTGGCTCTTATCAAGCTGTGAGCTCTCTGGACAAGTCTGCCAGGCTCCACATTTCTCCTCACAGCCTCTCATCCAAGGGATGAGATGACACTCAATGCTGAAGACAGACTTTTAAAGTAGCACAGCTCCAGCTGAGCTTGAAAAAAATAAACTTGAAGAAAAAAAAATCATTCTGAAAGAAAAAAGCATGTGGTGCTGTGTTACCTCTGCAAACATCTTGTTTTGGACTATAAGTACTACCTACGAAAATACTTGCTGGCTGTCTTCATGGGCCCAAATTCTTAAAATCTGTGATGAAGTGAGGCAAAGAAAGAATACAGATGTTTACAAGAAACAAAAAAAAAAGATTTTGCTTTGTTTTTTCATTGTCATGAAGAATGTAACACACTGGCCCACTGAACAGTAAAATAACCCAATTCAAACCAAAAATCTCTGACCCGCATTCTTTGAGTTCCTACAGGGGAATCACTTGATATAAAAGTGAGTGAAGGAAAGAATGTGGGAGCTCTATTATTTTTCCAGTATAATGTCTACCCAGTTCAGTGACATGGGGTTGGAAGAATACAGAATTACTTATCTCAAACTGACAGTTATGGGGGATTTTTGCAAATATGTGACTACAGAAATCCAGAAGTCATGTCCCACATTGTGAGGAACATGTTGCATGTTTTGTAACTAGAGAATCTGCCACAGGGCAATTCCAGTGTCAGCCTCTCTCCTACTGTTCAACTTATGAAATGTTTCTTTCTCTGTGACCAGTGGAGTGCTTGAATTTGGTACAGGGAAAGTGGCAGATAACCAAGATATATTTTTTTCTCTTCAGCTCAAAATTCTTCTCCTTGAAAGCAGATCTCTCTTGGTCTGCCAACATTTTTAAAGCTAGACTTATAGGATTCATTTTCCCCCTTTCTGGAATACACATTGTTTCTCCTACTGTGAAAGAAGTAGTGCAAACAGTAGGCTGGGAGGCTTGACAGAGCTATAATTACACCACTGGCTATGACATTAAACATAAGAAGAATTGATAGCCTGCTTAGCTGGCTCCTCATGCAGAGTTATATAACAACCACAGGAAAGGACCAACAATAATATTTAATTGCTCTCCCTCTCCTTCCCATCTTGGGACACTTACACACTACGTGAGAGTGGGATCAACAGCATAAATCAAATGCACCCTAGGAACCACAGGTCTGGGAGTGAAGAACGTTTGCATTTGGTTACAGCTTCCTTATATTTACTTTTACTGAGGCAGATGGGACTTCTCACAAAGGGAACTTTGGCAAACCATGTGTTTTTCTTGCATGAGGCTTTCAGGGTACTCTGCAGGCTGCCTTGAGCACCTCAACACCCTGTGTGACAGCCTCATCCACGGGACAGATTTAGGTATCTGAAGAGAGGCCAACCTTGGAAGGAAGCTGCTCTTTGGGGCTGCATTCCCCCAATCTATCCAACAGCCAACATTGGTCATGTTGGGCCTTCCAAAGTCCTATCTCTTACCCCACTACCAGCAGCAAATTTGGAATTTCAGAAAAGCACATGAGTCTTCTGATGTCCCAGCTCTGAATTCTCTTCTTGAACATAGTGCTTTCATTCTGACCTTCCTTTCCCCAGTGTCTCCACACTCTTTCTTCATCCACCAGCTCCAAGGTGATGGCCCTTGCTGAGGTAGGGAGGGGACCTGAACTTTATTCTCACAGGGTGGTACTACAACTGGCCACCCTCCACCTTCCTTTGAAGGCTCTGCTCCTCTCTGACTGGAACAGAAAAGTATTCACAGAGCCAGAAAGGAGCAAACCCTGTTGTAATGACATGATGTGGAGCTAGTGCAACTTTTATTACAACCTCTGCACATTCCCCAAACAAGCTGGCTGCTGGCTATAAGCAGCTGAGCAGACAAAACTTTCTCTCCATTCCATAGGAGAAATCCATAGGATTCCTGAGCTGGAATCATGTGCTTCATGATTTCAGCTCAGGGATCAGACCCTGAGAAGAATGGGAGATGAAGAAGTGCTTTAGGAACTGGTTTAATGACAGGACCACATCAGTATGTGTGCTTAGAAATTGCTGATGTAATTGCTGCAGTTTTTCTTAGCCAGGCAATCATGAAAACTTGCATGTCATGAAAACTTTAACCAGATATCTTTGCCTTTCTTCCAATTTTATTGGGCAGTTCTGCACTTCATTAGCATAAATAGATTTTTTTAAAAAAATTATTTTTCTACCCAATAATATGAATAATTTTGGCACAACCTGACAAAAAATGGGAATGCTGCTTCTTTGTCAAATCAATTTAGAGAAACACAAAGAAGTAATTCTAACACAGTTCACAGCCAGCATTTTTGAATGCATTTTGCACACAGAACCAAAGAAATCTCCCCGAAAAGAAAGATAAAAGAGAGAGGAGGCCATGTGTAACCTGGATGACGAAGATTCGTGAGGTTTGATGCTGGCACTGCGGTCCCTCCTCACTGGAGCTGGCTCCAGGGTGGGCAGTCCTGTGGCTGATGTGGTGGTGGTCCACGTGGAGGACACTCGTCTCAGCAGTCCTGGAGGCAAACTCCTCCGTAAGCGCTGTGGGGAAACCAGGGCCCTTCAGTTGGTACAGGCTGCAAAACCTCCACACATGCACAAATAAACCATCTCCATTGGCTTCCTTCTGTCTGACAACACCTTTAAATCTGGGTTCTCCCAGGGATTATTCATGTCAAACACAGCCAATGCTTTAAATGCTTGGGGAGTCTGGATCATCCTCCCTATCTCAAGTTTAAAAAAAGTAATATATATATATATTATATATATATATATATTATATATATATATTTATATATCCGCAGCCCCATAGCCACAGATGTTCAACACCTGATGTGGCCAAAGGTACTTAAACAAGTTAGCATGGCCATAAAGGTGACTGAAGCATTTGTCAGGAAAGGAAAGGCTGAGGGAGTTGGAACTGCTCAGTCTAAAGAAAAGTCTCAGGGTAGATCTTACCAGTGTACACAAATACCTAAAGGGAGGGTGTAGAGGAGAAGGCTCTTTCCAGGGGTGCCCAGTGACAGGACAAGAGGCAATGGAGCAAGAACTGAAGTACAAGGCATTTATTTAAATGTAGGAATTATTTTTTTTTACTGTGAGAAGGACTGAACACAGAGAAGTTGCCGGAAGAAGCTGTGAAATCTACATTAATGGAGATACTCAAAACCCAACTGGACATCCTCCTGAGCAACCTGATCTAGGGTGAGCCTAGAGAAACTTTCTCCTCAATGAGCTGAGGGATAGGACTGGACTACACAATCTCCAGATGCACTTTCAACCTCAACTACTCTGATTTAAACTGTCATGAATCCTCAGAATCAGAGATTCAAGCCAAGAAAGGCTGTAAGAAAAATAAGGCAGGGGAGCTCCAACTTTTTTCCCTGCCATATCTACCCAACCCACTGAAATAAAACTTTCATGCTCTGGGATGTGACATCTCAGAAAGCTTAGAGGAAGCATCACTGTTTACAGCAGATTTTTCTTGACCACCCCTGCGTTTTTCTTTCACCTGTCTCCTCCATTTCTCCAAAAAACAGGATTCACATTTTTTTTTCAAATTTTTGAAGGCAAAGATAATAAAGGATCTTTTTTGGAGCCAGATTTGCTGTTGCAGATCCTATAATTTTGTAAGCTGTTTCTCTTGTGCAGTTCTTGTGAAGTGTTTATAGCTAAGAACTAAAATAAATATATCTGCAATGGAGAGCTTGGACTTTGCCAGAGGGTTAAGAAATATGAGATGGAAGACATCTGTGGTTCTGAAGTTCAAAGTTGCATATAAATATGTTAACACATTATCTCCTTACACAAAATGCTCAGTGTCAGATGGTTAAGGTGAAGGTCCTAAATCTGCTTTTAGACACTTTAAATAAAGACATGCAAACTATTTATTTTGTGAACCAGAATACATTTAGGTCAATGAATTCTTCAATCAAATTAGTTCTCTGTAGCATTAACTCATTTCTTCATCCTTCGTTTCTCTTCTCCTCATAGGGTATTATGCAACAGCAAACTTGTATCTGTTCCCTGTGCGTGCTGGTGTGATAGCAGTGCTATTCCACTAAACTCTTCCCCTCAGAGCCTGGGGTACAGCCATTATAGATATGGTCACTAAAGTAAACTGGGAAATGTGCTTAAAAACCTGTGAACATCCATTTTGTACATACAGCTGCTAAACAGGCAAATAGGGTGGCAATTATCATCACACTAAGCTGTAATAAAAGAATCACGAGCGTTGCAATTGAGATGCCTGGAAATGCTGGAATGAATGACTGGCTGTGCCATTTAAACTGTAAAAACATAAAAGCATTTGCCTGTGCAATGTACTCTGCCTATATTTAATTTTACAAGGGAGGCTGCAGTACAAAAGCATTTTGGTTTAGTTTCAGAAATGAAATGTAAGCCTTGCAGGACAGCTAATTAACAAACCTACAATTCACACTACTTCAAATCTGATGTGCTCTTTCTAGCTGTTCACTTGCTAAGTGTGGGTGGTTAACACTGGTTATTTCCTGCCTGATCCCTGAGCATTCATAAAGCCATTTTTCAAGGCAGTATTACATTTATATTTATGGTTCTGTCATCTTTTTCTTCTCAAGACAACTTCCATGAGCTCACAGTATTTGTCATACTAATGATTGTGATATTTTTGTCAGTTTGTGGGGTATACAACAGTTTAGACTTGATCCAAAGCACCTGAAGGTCATCAATAGAAACTTTTTAATTGACTTCTGTAGAGGACACAGTCTCAAGCTACGTCAGGGTAGGTATAGGTTGGACATCAGAAAAAAAATTTTCACTGAAAGAATAATAAAGTACTGGAATGCTCTTCCCAGGGAGGTGGTAGAATCACCATCTTTGGATGTGTTTAAAAAAGGACTGGACATGGCACCTGGTGCTATATTCTGGTTGAGGTGTTAGGGCATAGGTTGTACTGATGATCTTAGAGGTCTCTTCCAACCTCATCATTCTGTGATTTTGTGATTCTGTACGCTTCACCCTTCTAATTAAGGGAAGGAAGAAGAGATGGCAGTTCACACAAAAATCCCAGTGACATCTGACAGGCCAATGACATCCTTTATGGAGAGGCAGGCTCCAGCACTCACCTTGGGGATTGCCAGTTTCTCTCCCTTCTCCGGACATTCCTCCGAGTCGGAGCAGGTGTAGTTCTCGCTGAAGGACACCAAGGGATTCACCCTGGGCTTGTGGATGGCCTGGAAGGTCAGCTGTGTGTTGAGCAGGTTGCTCACTGTCCTCAGGGATGTGCAGACGTTGGGGGGCAGTGAAGGATCAGCCAGAAGGTCTGTGATGAGGCCGTGGGCCTCTCCCATGACAGCGATGTCCACTGTGATGCTGGTGCCAGAAGACTAAAGAAGAGAGAAATAATACAGGTGAGAAAACAGCAGTGAACAAACTGCTGGGCACTGCCTCAAGCTGTGGTGAACTCATCACAGCTTCTGCTAAAGCATCTGCAGGTGGAAAATATTAACATGAAATAATTCCTTAAATACAGAGAACAACACTGAATAGATCGATCATCGGTCTGCAAAGACTTTGGAATTCCATCATATCTGATTTCACAGCTTCCACCATCTGCAGCTGACTCAGCCCATCTGAATAAATTGTTCAGGCTCCCTGTGGAGACGTGGTCAATAGCCAGGGCCTTTTTGCACAAACAGTTTTGGAGACATGACTTGGGATGGGAGGGGACTCTCCTGAGAGATGCCTGAGTACTAACTACAGAATAACTAATCTAGAACAACTAATGTTCAGTGCTTAGGCCCAGATCAATGAAATTAATCCCAAGCATATACTGAGATTTGTAAAATATCTCCATGCAACTAAATTATAGTATTCTGGTATGGTAGCAACAACATTCTTCTCCAAGCAATTGCATATTGGGCAGCTATACCACAACTGAAATGGAGTAAAAAAGTGGGTTGTTTTAAACCTTAAAGTTGTCAAGTCTGTGAATTGACAGCTATACAGTACAATTGCAAAGGTTCGAGGATCTTTAAATTCTAATAAACAACAGTGAGACTTGGATGCACACAGAAGTAAAACACCTAAAAAGGCAGAAGGCATATGGAATTTCAATGCAGAAGTGACATTTCAGCCCCACTAGCTGGTGCACTAAAACCCTCCATAAATTCTGCATAGAATTGCTGTTTCAAGGCACTCCAAGAGTAACCATTTTCCCTTTGTTGTGTCTCTGACACATAAGCTCAGTCCTGCTGCTCCTGTTTAGGGCTTAGCAGGTATACGTGTTTCCCAGAGAGACGATTGCAGCAGATTTTGTGCTAATTTGCTTTCATGTATTTCTTAGAAAAAGCTAAAATACATAGTTTGTTTAATGGGGAAGTTATGTCTGTGAAAAGAATGTACAAGTTCCTTGGAGTGGCAAGCAAAGAGCATGGAGAATTGGTCAGACTGAGAAGGAGAGAGATTAAAGCCCCAGCCAGGAATGACTCATGACAGCATTCATGGACCTCAAAACACAAAGAACAGAATAACACAACTTGACACTGCTTTGTTCTCAGAAAAGCCTTTACAGGCAATAAAAAAGCATTTCTGAGGAAAATTATGTATTAGTTAAGTATAGCTAAACCCCTTCCCTCTGTCTTCCCAGTTGCATAATGTGGACATCAGGCCCTTGGCAAACAGGTGTTTCACTCCATGGATCCCTCCTCGTGTCCTGCTTCTTGCAAAGACTGAGGTAAGCTGCAGGACCAGAAGATAGGCTTCCTCACTCACCACCCTCTCCTGCAGCCAGAGAACCAGCCAGCCTCTTCCCACATTTCTTTGCCATGCTATGAAATAAACCAGAAACTGCTTAATCTACTGGAGTGCTATTTCATCCTGCTGAAAAAAAATTAATGCCTGAATTTAATTTAATGGCTTTTTCATTGCTTAACATCTCAGGAGTGCATGCAGAAGATTCTGGCAGATGCTAAAGAAAATCCTTAAATTAAAGAACAAGGCTTGGGATGGGAGTAATTAATTATCTATCTTAACCTCAGCCATGGCAAATGGACCAAAGGGGAGTGAGGCAGAATACATCACTCAAAATGCAATAGAAGCCTCATATTTTCAGCAAAATTGTGTCATCTACTGCTTGAAATTCTATCAAGCTGGAGTAGTTGATAATCAGAGGCAGAGATTAATACTTCCATGAAGTAAACAAGTCTGACTCAGTGGGCTATAAGCAGAGGTTCTGTGCAGCAGCACTGATATTTTGCAAAGCAGCCAGCATTGTTTTCCATGATTAGTACCAAGTGGGGAGAGGGGGAGCCCTTCTCCATGGTGGATTTCTGCCACAGGGCCTCCAGCTCCTTGTGCTGCCATGTGTGTTGGTAAACCCAGCCTTAACTCTGAGATTCAGCAGATTTGTCCCAGTCAAACACCAGGCTGTGATGAGTTATGTGAGTCAAAAAGTAGGAATGGTTCATCTCTCTCAGGGTCAATTTACAGCACGATCAGACTAGTCTGACTAGGTAAAATTACAGCTATTTAAATAATTGTTTTCTAAAAAATATTACAAATTGAATGCATGAGAACATTTTAAAACATTTTACTTTTCAGAGTCTCTACTAAAAAACAGTAGAGAGCTGCATATGCTTTGCAGACCATTACTCAGAAAATAGATGACAATGTGTTTCCCTAAAGGGCAAGGAAACCTGGAATTTAGTGTAAATCACTGTGGTGATGTGAAAGCAAGAGAGGAAACTGCTGAAAATTTAAGATTAATGTAATCACATACATGGATATTTATTGTATATATGCACATGCACACAGATAGATATGCAGGGAGTCTTCTTTTAGGGTAAACGCGCAGACAAAATCCACGTTCAGTCTTTGTAAGTTGTTTTTTACTAAGTGCATAGCCTCTGCATGAACTGATTTGGATTCTTTGGATTTGGATTCTTTCCAAAGCACTTTACTCATTGAAGCTCCAAGGCCGGATACACGGGAATTGTGGCAAGAAGAACGTTTGCAAACACCAACAAACAACTAATTTGATAAAACAAAACAAAACAACGAGGAGCTAAGATAAGGTGGACTTAATTTCACAATGGTCAGTGTTCATTTGCTCATCTATGCCAATAATTGTGAATGCAGTTCCCTCCCATGACTTTTGGATAAGACTGGCTTGCTGTTCATTTTGTGACTTCATTCCAGCCCTGATTTCAGCAATGTCATGCAGTGACTAAAACTGAAATGCTCTGGGGCATGAGAATGAGAAAGCAAACAGGCTGGGAACAAAAGCAAAACTAAACAGGCTCATTTTTAACTAAGATAAGAAGAAAAAATAATTCCTTACAATGCTGAAAAACAGCTGGTTTAGGCCACAGTGCCATCTGGAATTCCTAAGTGGGCCCAAATGCACTTGCTGTATGTTTTGAGGCTTCCTTTTATGTACAGAAATTAAAAAACCAAACAAACCTAAAACACACTGCTGCATGTGCAGGACCAAACCACAAAAGTAGCATGCCCCAGTATCAGACAGATTATTTTTGTCAGGGCAGGAAACAACTGTAAGGAACACTTATATTCAATATGAAAACAGTATCCTGAAAAATTTTAATAACAATTAAGAATTTTTAGGTTTAAATGATTTGTTTTGGAGTTTGCAACATGACTAGAAAAGTTCTCAAAATTTGCATAACCTTCACTGGGCTTTTCTATTATAGTCCACAAAATCCCCTTTGTTTCTTCTGTTAAATTATATTATGCACAAAACTCTAAGAATAGCTTTTTACTCAGTAGAAGAAAAAGGCAGATAGAACTGTGCAGGAAAAATAAATTTAGGAAAATAGGAATAACAAATTCCTTGAGCCATAAGAACAGATAGATAAATTTAGGTATCAACTACTTGTGTTGGCTCACCTGGGGAGCAGATTTGACATCCATACACTCAACAGATGCCTTACCACAAAGAAAAGTCTTCTCCCTCCCCATTCATGTTTTGCATATGATACTCATCCAGCTTGACTAAAAACCACCACTCTCTCTCCACCCTACAAAGGGGGTGATTATCACGACAACACAAAACCAGTTGAAATTTATGCAAAGGAAAAAAAAAAACCTTAAACTAATTATCAAACACAAACCACAATTCATTTCACACAGCCTCGTATTAGGGAGAAATAAAATCTTCATTAGCTGTGGCTTGTACAAGGAAAAGCAATGAAGGCAGAGATGTTGGCCTTTCACCACGTTGCACTCAAGAGCACTCTGTAAGCAAAAGAATGGGGGAGGCAAAGAGGGAAAAAAAAAGCAAAGGAAAGCAGCATCCAGCCTATCTTCAATCTTCACACAATTACCAGCAGCTATAAATCACTATTTGATATGGTTTCCAAGTCACATCATAAATGTTCAGGCCAAGCTGTCTGGAAACAAAATTAAAAGCAAATATAATTCTCCATTATTTTAATGCCCACAGAGCAATTTGAAGGATAAACATCAATTGGCTTCTATGGAAATAATGAATCATTTTAAAGGCGCCACAGACTTAACTACTCCACCTTCCACTGAATGACTAAGGGAAAAAGCGTGCATGCAATTCTTTCACATTTCACTTTTCTCTATTTAAAGCTCTAGAAACTGAGTATTTTTATTTCTCTCTTATTTTGTACCAGCACAAGATTTCAGATTTTCTCTTCTTTGGTGAGCAAAGAAGATGTTTATGAGACTCTTTTCTCCAGCTTAATGAAGCACATCATTGCCACGGCTCTCTGGAGGTCAACCAGCCACAGGCTCTGCAAGGCACACTCTTTGGTAGGGCTGGAAATAGCATCTTTCTGTTGTCTCATCACATTGATCAAAGAAATCCTTTCCAAGGCATCTATGTAGCCCCTGGCTTTGCTGTTGAGTCTTTAAAGCAGCCAGGGCCACATAACCATAAACCAGACACTGAGGCACAGAAGATGAGCCCACAATGAAGGAAACTCAAAATCTTGCTTGAGCCATAATGATTTGAGTTTTAATCCTGGTTCCAAGATGCTTTGGATGGCACCAGCACAGCAAAGCAGAGGTACCTGACAGCAATTACACTGGACTCTGATCTGCAGGGCAGAAAGTGCCATGACTGCCACATCAAGTGTGTCTGTAATGCCAGGAAGGTGCCAGAGTCCAAGGATCACAGAGCAGCCAGAAGAAGTGTTTCAAAGTAGTTCTGCAAAGGCGGGATCTGATGAAATGGGTCTCAATAAAGAGTCACAATTTTTGTCCCCTCCCTGTATTGCAGTGAGCCCTTTCCTCAGCAACAGTCCTGAGGCCACAGAGTCAGCAGCAGGCAGCCCAGCCTGGGGCTGGGTGTGCATGGGTTGAGCAGCCTCCTACAGGGCTGGCTCTGTAATCTCAGAGT